TACTCGGTCAACTAGTGCTTCCCACCTTGCTTGGTCCGAAGGCGCAGGCGAATGGTAAATCACCTTTTTGTACAGGGCTAATATATTTACCAAAAAAAAAGAAGAAGAAGAAGTGATTTTTGTCCCCGTCTCCATCCCTATCTGCGGCATAAAATCTTCATGATAGACACGTATGAATAGATAAAATAATTGATGACTTATATGTGGATCAAAGAATACATAACATCATAAATAACTAGTCATGAATTACAAACTATGGTACGCCAAAATTATTAAGAATTCATTATCACATCATGAAAATGATTCTCTTTTCGCTTCAAGTAGCAAATAACCATCATGATAAGATGGATGTATCATTTTCTATATAAAATCGTTTTAGGACTTTTTTCTAAATAAATGGTATGATGAACAACATTATAATTGTAGATTAAAGCCCAATTTTTCGGTCGTAGCAAAATTTTATATTCAAAGTTGCACTACATTTTTTACAACTATATTATTATTTTTATTTTATTCAAAGTCGTGCTATTTATTTTACAACTTTAAAATTTTCATTTCATTTTCACATATGTATTAGGGGCTCGTATATCATATCTATAACTATCTACATGGCTGATTCTTTCAGCCACGCATGCTGCCTTGATTGATTAGTGGCAGTGCTACCATTGATCAATCTCAATGGAAGAAGCAGTTCTGCCATTGAACAATAAGAAACTCAAACTTCAAATTCAATTTTCTTTTTCATTTTCGGGTATATTGATATACATTGTTAGGAAATCAACTTAAATCACAACTCACTTTCATTTTCATCATTCTCTTCTCTACAATTTCTCTAGTATATCGCTCTCTGCTATTTAGCAGTATAATTTTGTAACTATTATTACTCTCTTGATTCGAATATCTTTGAAGATAAAAATTTTAAAACTGATATTTTTTTACTGTGTTATCCTGTGTAATATATATAATTGCTAGCTCATCATCATATTCATGGTTTATTCAATTTCTTGTAAAGTTTTCGGAGACCCTACAAGAAGGGCTAGTTGTATTACGATGGTAACATAAAAGAAGAAATCCTAAATTATGGAGATAGTATTTCTTTAACTTTGATACTATATGGTTTGTTTGTACTAATTGCTACATATATTTCATAGCATTATATCTTGATGATAATTTGACTCTTGCGAAAAACTATTTATTATTAAAAATATTGCAACAGATAAACTTACTCGTCACTTTGCACAAATAATTGTACAAGATGAGTATTTAGCGATGCTATTTCACAGCATTTGCATGCGTTAATTTTATCTTTTTATTCGACTAAGGTATTTCTCAAAATAGTAATGAGGGAAATTAATTTAATTTTTTTCCACAGAGAAATTTAATGAAATTGGTGTTGTCTATTAACTTCGATTCATTAGAGGTACAAGATAACTCTTTTTTCGTAATCAATTTTGAAATGATGCTGTTTTGACTGTTGATTAGTGGAAGACATGCACTTATTTTATAACTTGTTAGATATATTTTCGTCTTCTATGAATTATAAACCCATTTCTCAAACTTAAATTCTGGAATACTCTTTTTGTTAAATATTTCTCTAGTCTTCTTAAATACATCCATTGTCCAAGGTATATGTCGCGATGGAAAACATAATCAAAACTATTTTTTGTCGTGTATCAATTATATTTTTCCTAGTTGCAGTCTTCATTCCCTTTCTCAAATTGCGTGGGAAACATTGCTTTCTAGTCACTTCAAAATAATTAAATTCTACATCCAAAACAAATGTATCTTCATTACGAGGAAGAATTATAGAATTGTGTCCCAATTTGGGTTTGATTTCAACATATGATGAAGTTTCGAAAGGTGGTTATGGGAAACAATGCACCCTATAAGGTAGCCGGTATTGAAAGAGTCAAGCTTAAGATGTTAAATAAGATGGTTAGAAGTTAGAACACTTGATGAAGTGAGACACATTCTAGAGTAAAAAAAATAAAAAATAAAACATAAAATCTTATCTTCTGGAGTAGTCTTGACTTTAAAGGATACAAGTTCATTGGAGAAGGTGGAGCTCTGAAGGTTTGTAGAAGTGCCTGCATTGTGTTGGAGGCACAGAGAAAGTTTCAATTTATGTCTTGCATGATTCTATAGAATTATTGAAAACCAATTAGCATAAATAAAGAACTTCGGTGGATATTCAATTCGATACACAGTACCATTGGAGTTTTGTTTGGGTTCTACATTGAAGAAAACATCTAAGTCGAGTTCAGAAGTTATGGGAAATGTCGTTTTGCCACGAAGCAATTGTATTCAATTGCTAGAGATAGATACATGAGAGATATTAGGCCTCCAAAAAGATACATGAAAGTTGATTTAGTGATATATGCTTTAAGTCTAAATGAAGATATTGAGTCTAGCAAAGAATCTTCAATAGAAGCAATTTATAGTATTGATTCTGTTATGGGGTGTGCTTTTGCCCTGTTTGGTAATCATCGTTGAATTGTTTGTGATTTTGTCGCTCGTGGTGATAATTCGGGTAACTTTAGTACCCGTAATAATTCTGCCGAGTAGTGCTTGGATTCAGTTGAATGGGTTTGTCCTAGTTGGACTTTGTGGAAGAGGAGGAGAATTTTTTGTTGGAGAATTTTCTTGAAGAATCATTGGTTTATTCCTTCAGTTGAATTTGGTTCCAGGTGGAGAATCCTTAAGGTTTGTACATTGATGTGGAATCTATGTTAAGATGGAGATTTGTTAATATCGTGACCCAAATTTCGTTGGATGTTCCTAGATTGGTTGAATAGGTGTTAAAGGAGTATGAGAAGTTTTGGAACAGCGATTGGGCACTTGGACGCCCAACTCAAGCGCTTAGGCGCCATATAAAATGTTTGGAATCAAGTTGGACCTGAAACGAGACACTTGAGTGCTATACACAGTGTCTGAGCGTTTTCATTGCTATTACCGCTCGATTGTCACTCCAGTGCTACGCACTGCTCGTTTGGCGCAAGGTTGCTGCTAAAGAAAAATTTGTTTCCTGCTAAATAGTAATTTTAACCACACATTCACAACTACTATCTGCTTATTGTTTCTATCAACACCAGTTTAGGGTTTATGAGCTCATTGAATCGAATGTCAACACCATTTTTGAGAAACAGCCAAAAAATAAAAAATAATATATCATGATCATATAGGAACAAGGGGAAGGAAAAGTAGAAGAAAACAACAATTCGCTCTACAAGGTTCTCTGATAGTATATTGGATGATAAATATGCTCATTTCAGAAATAGAAAAATATATATCCTTTCCATTTCTTTGAGCTACTTCACAACAAAACCAGGATGCATCGAAAATTGCATCGTTGGAGCCAGTGGGCTTTTAGTTAATTGTTCCAATCAAACTGCTCAGTCGAATGCTCTGCATCCAAGATCTTATACCTTTACGACCTCCTGAATGTGTTGCGAATGGCTTTTACCTGGTGGAATGAAAATTAGATCTTCCCAACCCAAGTTCTTTTCACTCATCTGCCACAACAATGAAACACATAGTGACATGTCGCCTTGGTCACTCGTTTAACAAAGAAAAAAGACCAACAACAACAAAGAAAGAAACAAAAGGAACTAATGTTACCAAAAGGTCTACTTTGGCCAAAAGAAGTGCACCTGCAAAGCATGTTCTGCATGCTTTAACATTATGCACTTGCTTTGGCAAAACCTGAAGTTCCTTTTACAAGAACTGCCAGTTTATAGATTTCATTTATTCTCCAGGTAATTACCTCCATTTTTTTCAGAACATCCTCTAAACTTCCAACCTATTAAATGCAGAAAAGAAGATTATTATGTGCATAAAAGTCGGAAATTTTAGAGGAGAATCATAAATTGTAGTACTGAAATCAGAGATCGGAAACACAAAAAGTAAATAAAAAAAAAAGAAGAATGAACCATCACCCAATGTAAAAAACATTTGCGAAAGGAAAATCAAGAAGTGAATTATGTTAAATATCTGAACGTACAACAGCAGTTAGAAAATTTCACTACGTCTTGAAGTTGATATTTTGTCGTTCGTATTCATTTTTTATTTTTCCTCCAATAATCCTTAAGGTTCTTAATGAGCATTTTAGCTGACATATGATCCGGTAATAATTTTTCTTTTGCATAGACCAGCAGATTCCTAGAGAAGAATGGGGATTCATGCTTTTCATTGCAAAATTTTGCAACCTCGGCGATCTTCAATGTTACGCATCAACAAGGCTTCCATAATCCATTCATACATTTTTGTACCATCCTAAGTCAATAGGTCAACTTTCAAAAATGGTAAAGCATTAGCCATTGTCACACAGATGTGTGCTGCTCATAACTCTCACGTAAGGTGTGGCAAATACAATTAGAACTATCTTGTTGAAAATGCAGGAAGAAATAAAAAAAATTTAGAAGCTTCAACAGGATCCTCAATGCTCTCTGGTCAGTCCTCTTTATTCTACAATTATGTTCTCGAATTACTTGCATGAATAAATTAACAACAGAAGCCATAGCAAAGATGGGTGCCAGATTTCAATACCATAATGTGCTGTGAAACATCAGATCCTCTTCCCGCCTTTGACACTGTTGACAATGCTTTTTCTATATCTTCCTGTATCACAAATGAGCATATCGACCATGTAACTTCCACAATCTTGAATCACGTATCACTTTAGCATTCATAATGGTACAAAGAAACACACCTTCTGAAAATATAAGGGGAGGTAGCGCTTGTTTTTCTTCTTTACAACCAGAAGGTCTGACTGCAGACAAAAATTCAAATAAATTTTTAAAGAAAGCATTGGATGAAAAATGCCGCAAATCTGAATGAAGGAAAGTATCTGCATTCAGATTTGCAGCAGTCATCATTTATTGTATGTCAATAAAGTCCCTGCTACATTAGGCAGGCTATTAACGAATGCCCTCCTTGGGGTCTGGAAGAAATTATGGGGAGGGATGCTTTGCCTATCAGGCTACCTGAAAGAATGAGATTCCATCTAACTTTTCAGTATCAATTTTAGAGATTGCACAGACTAAGCAATAAATGGGAGCAGAAGCCTCGACAACCTCATTTTCATGCAAACGAGAATATAAAGTAAAAAAAAAAATTCCTTCTTGTGTCCAAAATGAAAGAATTAGATCGATTTGCATTAAAATATGGAAGCATATTTACTTCACCTTAGGATGGCTTAAGATGGATGCCTAGACTAGATATACCTAGAGAGAAGGAAGAAATGTGATTCAGATTGGATCAATCAATAAGTAATCGACTCAATGAAGCATAACTCTATTGAGAGATTCCAGTATGGAAGAGACGGAGAACCAACAAGTATTTTCAGAGTGAGCATGTAACATGAATTTTTGTCCATATTATTGTACATCTCATAGATGCATTACTGAAACTGTGTTGTACTAAAATGGATACACTATGTATCCGATGATCATCTAAAAAAAAGGCAATAGGTCAATGCACATACCTGAAAAACAGGAACTCCATCAAATCCATTCTTGACATCGGGAGATTTTAGCTAGCAGTAAGGAAGAGAATGCTGGTTAATTGGTTGCAAATAATACAAAAAATGGATGCCTCCTTTCACAAATTCAAAAGAAATCCCTGTGACGAGATAAAAGGCGGGCAGCAAAACGGGATGCAGTGGGAATAATGGGATTTGTCAACTTGATCAATAATATCAACTTAAGACAACTGATATCACCCTTTGAAGTTTAGAAACACTAGCAATACTAACCTCTAGTGCATTTTTTATTTGAACAGGATCAGGCAGAAACCTGAATGCAATTCCTTCAACCTTCAACATATAAACCTGCAATTGGTGGGACCAAAACACAACTTATTAAAATTTCATATTCCAAATATTATATTCTCATGTTATTATTGCTAATGAAGAGAACATAATAAAACAGGCAAAAAGTTAACAGATTCTATTCCGAGTAAGTTACTGGTGCTAATTCATCAACAGAGTATCACCATATGAAATAATGGAATGCAACTATCAGGCATTACTTCAACTTGTCTTAACTTGATCAAATGACAATAACACCATCCCAGCTTGAAGCTAGAAAGAAAACCTCCAACCTCTTCCATTACCCAATTACTAAATAGCCCACAGTACCTAAAAGTGTGAAAACAGCAACACATGAACATTGCTACATTTGCTCCAATTATCTCCTCTATAATCATAGACGCTGGGCATAGTTAGCTGCTTACTTCTATAAACCTTTTCTGTAGTCATTGCTGTTATTTCCTCCACAACAATTGTATAAAGCCCACATGATTCTATAAATGATACAGCATATCACGGAAACTTATCAGAAAATTTCTTCAATACTGACCTGGTCAAGTGCTATTGGCACCACTTTTGCTCCTCCTCTCACTTCACCTTTCCTTGACCTTACCTGAAGAATTCCAAAATACATATATAACCACAAAATCAAATAAAAAATTCTAAAAAAGGTAATACGATTAGATTGACATTGAGAAAGTAAATTCATTTATTAAATTATGATAAACAGATGCCTAAATATAGACCTGAGCAAGAAAAGCTTCTGCGTCTTCTTTGCGAAAGCAAAGCAAGCCAATGGACTTAATTCCATCCGGGTTAGAGATGAGAACAAACTCCTTGTTGGAGTTGCAAACAGTGTACAACGAAGTTCCGACTAGTCTTTTCGCCACTTGTCCGGTGCTAAGGGAATTTTCCAGCTTGCCCTGATGCTGCGACACGGAGGCAAATGGCAAGGATAGCTTATTTACTGGTTGTTGCAGGGTGAGGAAGCTGGCGGCGGAGGCGAGTCCTCGCCTAGTGTCGTCGAGTCGACTCGTGAATTGGGTGCCGAGTCCGTGGATGAAGGTGGAGAAGGCTAGGAGGGGGTTCGCCAACGGAGAAGACACCATCTCTGCTCCTGTGAGGGTGTAAAAGGGCATCTCATTTTGAGAAATTTGTTTTAAAATGAACAAAAATGGGGTAGTTAAAGTTGGGTCGGGCTGTCGGTATTTAGCCCGACCCAAGTGTAGTGCGGGCTTCGATGTGGCTTCGGTATGTAGGGTTGGCAATTGGCCGAGCTGAGTCGGCTCGGCCCTTAATGCCACGAGCTCGGCAAGTGGATTCGTCGTTTTTTTTTTTTTTTGTTTAAAATAAGGAATAGAGTTTTAAAAATAAAAAGTGTTAAAAAATACAAATAATTTAAAGAAAACAAGTTTTTATTTTTTTTATTTATATCATATTGTAATTTGTAATACTTTTTACAAAGTATAAAATATTTATATAATGGAAACGAATTATTTTTTGAAATATATTTACAAAAAATATATTTTTTTGATTTCTTTTTAAAGTTAATAAAGAATAGAGTTTTAAAAATAAAAGGTGTTAAAAAATACAAATAATTTAACGAAAACATGTTTTTATTTTTATTTTTTATATCGTATTATAATTTGTAATACTTTTTATAAACTATAAAAAATATATATAATGAAAACGAATTATTTTTTGAAATACATTTACAAAAAATATATTTTTTTAATTTCTTTTTAAAGTTAATAAAATGTAAATCATCCTCCTTTATCCGGGTTTGGGATCGGTTACATCAATTTTAAGTAAGCGGAGTTAAAAATTGTACACGAATAATTTGTTGTAACGTGTACAATTTTTTAAAGAAAATTAAATTTAACGATTAAAAAATAAAAAAAATGATTAATATAATTAAATCAAATATCACTTACCTGACGACATGCAATTCTTCACACACATTAACGCTTCCAAAACATCTTATTTCAGTCGGCTCCTGACATCAGTCAAAACCCTTTTACCTGCACTAAAAGCAGACTCCGAATCAACAGTTTGGAGGTGTCAATAGATCTTTCGCAATTGCAAAAACAATTGGCTAACGTCTTTCATACTTTCATCAGAATTCAATTATTTCTTCTGAAATTTTTTTAATTGTTCTGTCTGTTGGCATATTATGATTGAAATAATCAATTAATTCGGCAGGCATCGCATTTTGAGTTTCGGCCGATATTTGATGAGATGCAGATGTAGACGACACGGCACTAGATGAACACATTGCAGTTGCATCATATTTAAATGTATTACTTCCCTGAAATAAATTCATTATTTCCGTAACATCTTTTTCAGTTTCAGCAGAAAGAGTAGGTGCAGCAGAGGGTATCCGACTAACATTCGCACCCATTCTTTCCGCATATAAATCATACATTACACATAATTTTTGCTCTAAATTCTTATAGGTGATAGGTGTATCAAGTATTAAAACTTTATTGATTTGATCAATTACGTATTTAGTTCCCGAAATATTATATCGGGGGTCCATTGCACATGCTAAAGGAAATAACATAGGCAGTTCTTCCCAATATTTTCTAAACTTTAATTCCATAGTAATTAAAATTTTACTAAAAGTAGGATCATTTTTATATTTATGGAATGTTCTTGCAATTATATAAAGGCGTTCAAGCACCATACAGCTTGTAGGATAATAAACGCAGGATAAAATCTTTGTGGTCTCATAAAAAGATGTCAAAAATCGTTTAACTTTCAAAGCTAAAACCCAATCGGATTCATTTAATATACCATCGTCATCACTTCTAACATGTCTATTGTTATAAAAGTCAGTTATTAAATTTTCAAAACATTCACATGATTTTAATAGCAAGTATGTAGAGTTCCATCTATGACCTACGTCGCTAATAAATGTTTTAGCAGTCATCACCCCTAGTTCGGCACAAAAATCTTCAAATGCTTGTTTTCTACTAGAAGAGATCGTAATATATACTAATGCATTCTCAATTTTTTGAAGTTCATCCTTTATATGTTTTAAACCATCTTGTACAATTAAATTCAAGATATGACACACACAACGAATATAAAACAAATACCCATCAAAATCAGGTTGAAGTGTCCTACACAATTTATTGACGACTACCTTATTAACACTAGCATTATCAAAAGTAAAAGATCGAATTTTAGTCTCACAATGATATTCTCTAACAATACTGATAATAGCATTATATATATATTATTAGCATTGTGAGGAAATTCAATAATTCTAAAAGCAATAATTTTCTTATGCATGCACTAAAATGGGTCTATATAGTGTGCGGTTGCAACTATATATGCTCTTTTATTAACCCATTTCCATATATCAGAAGTTAAGGATATAACACCCTCATATTGTTGTAAATTCATAATTAATTGTTGTTTTGAATTATTGAAATAATTTATTGTATCGGCACGAAGAATGTTTCGACTTACCCCAACGTACCTCGGTTGTAGATATTCTTTCACGATCGAGACGAAGTGTTGGTTGTCTGCAATAGCCAGAGGTAACTCAGTGGCGGCAACAAATTTCATCATTCCGGTTCAAGTATCGTCCTCCGAATACACCCACGTGGATAAGGGTGAAGTTGTAGAACCGGCGCCTGAACTGTCAAATTGTAATTGTGTTTGACCAGCTGGAAGAAGTCCATGTCTGGCTGCACATGATTTGTAGTGGCGGTTGAGATGAGTGGTACCAATTCTTTTTTGCCATGTCAATCTTTTTTGGCAGTATTTACATACTGCTTTAGATTCTGCAAGGTCATCAACGACTTTTCCTGTTGAAATCATCTTAAAGTGATTCTAACATTTTGCTTGTTTTTTGGCCTTTCGCTTTCCCCTCGCATCTGGGATATTTAATTGCTGATCTTCATCTTCATGTTCCGCTTCGGGAACGTTAATATCATCCAAATCAATTGGAGTGTGGCTTCTCTGACCGTGAATGTGAACATCTTCAGGTATCGGTATGTCATGTAGACCGACAAATTCATTTGGAAATTGACTTTGCGGCGTCCAAGGCGATTCTCCATGTAAAAATTGAATTGATATTGTATATTTTGCAGCACAAGAGAGTAAAAACTCGATAATTGATATAATAAAAGATAGTTGAGATTTGAGAGAGTTGTAATCTTGGAAGAGATTGATATGAAAAAAAAATTTGGGAAAAGGGGGTATTTATAGTAAAAAAAATTGGGGGCGGGGGGGAGTTCGGTGACCAAACTTTTGACGAGCCACGAGCCCGGCTCATGGCTCGTTATTTTTAACGAGCCGCTCGACTCGTGCTCGGGCTCGTGCCTCTTTTCCACGAGCCGAGCCGGCTCGGCCCAATTGACATACCTATCGATGTGTAATTTGAAAAAAATCATATATGAAGTATGCACCAATTTAATTTTCAGAAATTAAATCTAAAATTTCAAAAATCACTTAATGAAAGAATTTACAAAGATAGCCAACAACTTTTTCAATGACAAATTGATCGTTGCTTAGCAAAGACTGAGCATCGTCGACTCAGATAATAGACATAGAGGAATAAATATAGCATCGTCAATGACTAAGCAGTGTTTGTGTAATTTAAATCTATTTTTTAAAATTAGAAATTGAAAAGCAGCCTCTAATGTAATTTATAGAATGCTCACTGGAGCAAATAACTTCAATTCTCACCGTCGAAATCTGGTTAATTGAATTTGTAACCAATTCGAAGATATCCATGGTGTGTAAGCAGATATCTTAAATATGTTATCTGCAACCTGTTACTTATAACCCGTGACCTTGTGGACATTAATCTATGACCTACTCATAGTGATCTGTGACTTGTGGACATTGATCTGTGACCCACACTGGATGATCATTGATCTATTACCTATACAATATGACTTGTGACTTGTGAAGTGTGACTTATGACATACAAATATGAACTGTGACCATTTCTGTTTGATTTGCGACCTATGAATATTTATATGTGATCAATATACAATAACCAATGACCTGTCACCACTACCGACACCACCAATAGACATCAACGCAGCGTTTGACATACACTTTATGAACATGTGACCACTATAAACACCACAAGCACTGATAAGTGCAATTTACGTATTTATTTATGTCACAATATTAAAATTTTAAGTCGGCAAATTATTAATTTCTATTTTTAACTTAGGTTAATTTTCTTTTGTTTTTAGTGAAGGACTCCTTGGAAACAATTAGAGAGAAAGAATGACGAAAATTGGATAAAAATGCAATTATGGGATCAAACTACACTTGTAAGAAATTGTAGGAGTAAGTTGCATTAATTATAAGAGAGTGAGCCCTTGAAAGATAAATTGCAACTAATTGGACCTTTAGTTGTCACCAAATTAAATAAGGGAAAAATTCATATTTAAGGTGTATTCTTTACACCATTTCAAAAGTCAGGTAAGAAGTTTGAAAATTCAAAATTCAGGTTTTTATTTAATTAATTAAAATTATTTATTAAATAAATATATTAAAGTCACAGTTAAACAAATAATGGTCACAGATTTCACATATTTATATATCAGTCACATATTATCAAATGAATTGGTCACGGATTATTTCAAGGTCACAAATCGAAAATTTTATAGGTCACAGATTTTTTTAATCACAGATTATCAAATTTTAAAATCACGGACCAAATCGTTGAGGTCACATATTATTGTTTTAGTCACAGATCGTCAAATTTTAAGGTCACGGACCAAATCGTTAAGGTCACAGATTATTCCTTTTTGTCACAGATAGTCAATTTTTAAGGTCACAGACGAAACCAAACTTTATGATCACCCCTACCACCGGTCCCATCCAGCACTAATCTTGGTCACAAATCACCACAATCCAATCGTCGATTGCACCACACCGTCAACAAAACAAACACCAATCACAAATCACTACCGTGCAATTGTCGCTTGCACCACACCATCGACTGCACTGCTACCAATATTGTCAACAAAACAAACACCAATTTAGCAAAAAAAAACCACCACCACCATCGTCGTCTACACCACACCACCAACAATCAGATTGGACCAGCACCACCACCATCGCCCCCGCCACCCATCCCATCCACAACCACCGTGGC